ATGCGTTGAAAAAAATTGGGGAAAAAAGTCTGTTAGTGCGATGGGGAAATATGTATGGCCTGAAAGGGTTAACACTCATTCACATACTGGACATATTTCATTTTCCCAACACATATAGATTGGAGATGGTATGATCCAATACTCCGGTATTGGTCCGATATTGGTCAAAATTTTACGATCGAACATCGGAGAAAACAAAAACAAAAAACGACAATAGCCCACCTGATCCGACACCTAAGCCAATTTAATTTTTAATGTGAACGAGGAACTTTCGGCATGCTGATGGGGAATATAAGGTATCGGATTAATATCGGTATTGGCTGTATCCGCACTAGAAAATAGAAACGTTTTGTTGAGCCATTCCTAATACAGAATAACATATGCACAGATGTACAAACTGACTAGTTGACTTTACATTTGCATAATGGCTTTTATTACCTAATGTCAACGAGTGACTTATGTTTTTTTTTTTACTGTAAGCTAATACAGTGGACTCCCGAGATACGAGTTTAATCTGTTCCACAACAGCACTCGCTTCTCGATCTACTCATATCGAATTGTCAATAGTAAAAATAACTAAAAACTAACTAATTAACCCCCATCTAACCATCAAAAACATAGATATAAACAAATATATTGATAAAAATAATAATAATTAAGAAAACATTTTATATTATTGTTATAAAAATGGGTAAAATAACCCAGTGTTGGGGACACTAAACGCAGGAAACATGAGCATTCATTTTATTCTAGTTGAGGGTAACTAATGTGAAGATGTTGATGACAGCGAAGGAGAACCAGGAAAGGGGGAAACAGGCAATGGTTGAGCAGAAATTTTGAACAATTTTTTTTTAAAATGCACCATCAAAGTCAACAGAAAGAGGGGGACGATGTCCCTAACCATTTGAAAACACAGCAGATACAAGGATTTACTTGTTGTTTTGTGTAAATCGTGTGAACAAGCTGTACATTTGGAACAAATACAGATGATTGAAAAGCATTCCCTTCTGCGATTTTTCTTTAAGGACTTAAAAAAAAATATCAATGATGACTCGGCAGGTCGGCGATGTCGACTCAACTTACAGTCACAGCTGTACCTGGCGCTCTTTTGTCCTCAGCTACATGATGCTAATCTGACATTAAAATAACCGTCTGTGTAGTTAACGGAATTTAAAATAATGCTGATGACACGAATCAAGGACAGTAGCCCGGTATTGGCATCTAGCCGCAGTTTTCCACGACGCAGTGAAGGACTTGCACCGTTGACTAAATTAGTGCAAAATCAGTTTATACGTACATCGTCTTCTTGTGTAACCGTGTGCTCCTCACGGTAAGTAACACCTACTTAATCATAAGGTGTTTTTTCGGAGCCGAAGTCGAGCGCTGCAGCTGCGCTGTGGATTAAACCTGATATTCTGCTGCATTTATCATCAGTTTTTACATTAGCCGTCAACACGCTTGCTAATAAACACCAGACAAACCTGACCTTATTTTACTGTCAAAAAACGTACTGTTATTGATTTGTTTGTTTTTTTCCGTTGTGGGACACTTTCTAGTTATAGTAAGAAGGTGATTTTTTTTTTCTTTCTGAAATTGTTGGTTAAAAAAATAATTGATAATTCTGTATTGTATACTTTTTTTTTTCTTATTAATGTCCAGTCTTGTCCTTGTCCTATACCAAGGTCCTGCTCCCCCGTAAGTACTATTGGTCTAACCAAGGTCAGCGTTTGGACCAGAAAAGATCTTAAAGAAAACTGAGCATGCGTTCCCTCTCCTACCCCTCTCTCTCTTTTACACATACATTCAAACACATGCTGACGCAGCAATGTTTGGGGATCATCAAACGCTCAGGACAAGGCGGAGGGGAGCGGTTGCTTGTGCTTGCATGTTGCATACACGGTTGCCTCTTTGAACACAGAGCCTCATGAGGCAGGGCAAATAAAAGATGCAGGAGGAAAGGTTTGCGATTTACCTGAGTGGCATTAACACAGCTCATCACAACAGCGACGGGGTGGAAGACACCGAAGGAGAACAGGAAAGGACAAGGAGAGCAATGGAGGGTGGCAGTAGCAGAAAAAAAAAAAAGTTAACATATTTGTTTCTAGATGTGTGTGTGTGTGTGGGTGCATGTTACCTTTATGCTCCAAGCCATGGTTGGGTGTTATTAGGGTTGGGGTGGTGGAAAGCAGGATGATTGGTTTTGTGGAGGTAGGGGTGGGAAGGACCATTGTGATGACAGACACATCTACAGACAGACAGGGCATATGGGAATGGGATAACAAACACATGGAAACATGGAAACTAATACATGCAGTACTGTTTTCACACAGGGGATGGCGGGGTTTTAAAGCAGTATGCACTAAAAGAACAAAAACATGCAACTATCGATCAAGCTCCGTGTATGCCTCGGTCAAGTCGCCAAAGGATTTTAACTGGAAAAAGCAATATGGCCTGTTTGGACAAAAAAGGCATGGGAATTCAGATAAATACAAATAACTTTACATAGACTTCAAGGGCGGTTGGTCTTCATGCAGAAAGTCCCAGGCTCCAACTTCCTGCTTGGCAGAGATGGTTGCATCAGGAATGTCATTCAGTGTAATAACCTTACCATGTCATTATTCATACCATATCTATTCACAAATGACACATATGCATATAACTATTCATAATGTACATATACTTACAATATGCCGTATTGCATTGTACAGTACATTTTCACTGTTAGAAACGACTCCGGTGTATTGCTAAATGTTGTTTTATCCAGTGTGACACATTGAAATGTTTTGTTTTTGGATTGGTCCTCCATAAGCTTATGAGACGACATATTGATTATAGTATATTGTTGTTGTTGTTTTGATTAAACAAAGCTTAAGACAATAGAGTTAAAAAGGTTGGATAAATAAAAACTTTTTTTTTATGTTTTAGTACATTAATATCACATTGTTAACTTACTGAAAAGTGTGGTTGAAGTGAAAGTCAAGCTGGTGTACTCGAACCTGAGTCCTTCTAAGTCCGCTTACTTAACCACTAAGCCACCACTTTTCCATATAATGTTTATATTGCATGTTATCAGGTAGTAATACTAATAAAACATGTCTGTGGGTAAATGCCTATGGTGAACACAACACCTGTTTGAACTGGTGTTGTGGAGCATTATCGCAGGCTGCCATTCATCTCAGAGGCAAATGGAACATATAGGAGCGCGCTCTCCATCACTGCCACATCGTCTGATGTATCATGGCAGCTGAGAGAAAAAAAAAAAAAAAAAAATCTGTGACTTATTCAATCTCCCGAAAACAGAGCCATACAGAGACCAAGAGCTGTGGAGTGTCTGTGTTGCCACGGAGATATTCCATTTGCAAGTAAAAAAAGAAAAAAGAAAAGAGAAATGCCTTAACCTGGCATGCGAGCAACTTGTTTAAAGTAGTTGTAAATATTTTTTTTTTCAATTTTGTGTTGTGAATGTAATAACCAAAGCTGGGACCAAGTCATTGCTTTGCAAGTCACAAGTAAGTCTCAAGTCTTTGCACTCAAGTCCGAGTCAAGTCTCAAGTCAGGACAGGCAAAGTCCGAGTCGAGTCCAAGTCAAGACTGAAAAGTGTCAAGTCAAGTCCCAAGTCCTGCCGTTTCTGTTTCGAGTCCTTTTAAACAAAATAATAATATATTTCTATAGATCACTTTGGGTTTTGGAGAAAGTATCAAGTCTTGTCGAGTCAAAGGGCTCCAAGTCCAAGTGAAGTCACGAGTCATTGATGTTAAAGTCCAAGTCGAGTGGCAAGTCTCTTTACATTTTGTCAAGTCGAGTCTAACGTCATCAAATTGATGACTCGAGTCTGACTCGAGTCCAAGTTGTGCGACTCGAGTCCACACCTCTGGTAATAACTAATAAAACCTTGTAATACCACCACCCAGCTGCTCGAATACCGATGACACGCAAGCTGTTGTTTACTCACACGTACCATGTCGAAGCCCAGCCTGCTTTGTGTCCAAGCAGCCTCACAGAGTGCAGGGCAGTAAGTTAGTCTACGAGCGACGGGCCGACTGACGTAATCACCAAATGGATTGTGAAGGACTGCGGACTGATTAATAGTTTTCAGGACAAGGACTTCCACTGAGGTGTGGAAAGAAAGTCTGTTACGATGCAACGATGTGACGACCAATCCACAGACACTAGGAAGTTAACATTTGAGGTTTTTCTTTTTCCATATGAATAATTCCAAAGTTTGGATTAGTCATGAATGAAGGCAGACGTGAAACACCCACATCTACCTGCTGTTAGTTTTCTTTCTGTTCCAGTGATTTACAGATAAGTGTGATTTATCCGGATTAATCATGAGTAAACAAAAATTTAGTTTAAAAAACAAAATTGACAACTATATATATATATATCTATATCTATATGTGTGTATGTATATATATATATATATATATACGTGTATACATATATACGTGTATATGTGTATATATGTATATATCTATCTATCTATATATACCTATATACTTATATATACATGTATATATATAAATATAGAGAGAGATACATATATACACATATACACGTATATATATATATATATACGTGTATACATATATATGTGGTAACTTGACAGCTGGTGGAACTCGAACCAGAAACCTTCTGGGCCAGAAGGCTATATATATATATTCTGAAGGCTATATATATATGTATATATATATATATATATATATATATACATATATATATAGCCTTCAGAATATATATATATAGCCTTCTGGCCCAGAAGGTTTCTGGTTCGAGTTCCACCAGCTGTCAAGTTACCACAGAGGTGCACTGAGCAAGGCACCATCGCCACACACTGCTCCCTGGGCATCGAACTGCCCCCTGTTCACTACGGTGATGGGTAGAGGTCATACTTTGTTGTGTCCAGTGGTGTGCAAGTTATTCACTTCCACGTTCCATATTCAGTTTTCACTTTCATTTCATTAATAGTATTTGCCAACAAACTTAAATGCAAATATACCATAAAATAAACCCGGAAATATAGACTCCAACTCCGGCCCTTCGACTCAGTCTCTCTCTCTCACTCTTTTTCCCTCTCTTCCTCACTCTCTCTCTCACACACACACACACAGTGCCCTTTTCTGCTCAGGAGTAATTTATTGGTAAGTATGCCTTTGTCTCTTTCCTTTCCTTCTCCCACTGGCCCTGAGATCATCAATCTCTTTTTGCACTCTTCTTGTGTCAGCACTATAACTCGCTCTCTCTCTCTTTCTCTCTCTCTCTCTCACTCTTTTCTTTTGTCAAGTTCTGCCTTTGAAGAAATGTACATGGTCTATTTTATAGGAACGAGACAGAGGCATGTGTTAAGACAAAGTGAAAGGTAGAGGTAAGTCGAACCAGGGAGAACACATTTTTTAGAGACTGGTGTATGTGTGTGTGTGTGAGAGAGAGAGAGAGAGAGAGATGCTCTTTTATACATCCCATTAAATCTGTAACCTTTTCAGTCCCGCTCCTTGCCACGTTAATGAGTTCATGGCAACTAATGGCTAATCAACCCAGGCCAGTGTGCAATTGCTGGTCAGTGCGTGTGATAACTGCAGAGCCATCGCCCATGGAGATGCATAAAACCAGCGTGTTTGTGACCCTGATCTGTGTTAGCGCCGACTCCTTCCAGCCCAACCTAATTAGGGCCAACGGTATAACAGTAATTCATCATGGAGAAGGAGAAGAAGTAAAACGGAGTTGACGAACTACTGTACGAGTTCAGAGATGAACCCAAGGTACACTGGGAACTGGTAACGTA